ACAAAAAATTCATTTGGTTCTTTTTATATCTTCTGTTTCTCCCTGTGTCCCTTTTTTTTTCAGTGTTGAGGCATAGTTAAATTATCGTTTTCCTTATCTGTTCTATTCATTTCTGGGTGCTTCTATTGACTGATTATCCTCTTTGCTTTTGGTCACATTTTGGTGTTTCTTGGCAGTTCAATTTTTTATTGGAAATTGCATGTTATAATGATTATTTCATTGAGTGTCTAGATTTTGAGGGTTATGAGTAGTTATTTGTAAGTCAATATGATGTTCTATATTGGGGCCTATATTTAAGTTTTTATAGGCCAGATCTTTTGTAGTTTGGGCTTTAAGAATAGACAAATCTATTTTGGGCCTCTGAATATTCCTGGGGATCATAAAGACTCCTTGAACATGTACCTTTGTGTGTCTTGGGAACTGTTCAGCTTATAATCCTTAGGAGTTTCATTCAATACTTGTAGTCAGAAAAGATTCAAGGGAAGTCTTATACATGCCTTTTCACTTCTTTTCCCTACATAGCACAATGCTTTCTGAGCTCTGCTCTGCAACCTCCATTTTCCTCTACCACCCTGAATGGTAGCCTTCAAAACTTGTGATGAAGTTGCTAAACTCTGCTTGTTTTGTTCCACCTCTCCTACACTCTCAATCTGGACATTGCCTCCAGGCAGAGCACTGAATTGATGACAGGATTCACCCCATTTGTTTTTCTGGGGATCTTACTCCTATGCTTCCTACTACCTAGTATTAAAAACCATTGTTGAACACAGGTTTGCAACTTGTTTGTGGATGTTAAATCTGTTCCTTGTTACTCTATCATGGCCACATGTGGAAATTTCCATTCACCCCTTCTAAGATGCCATATTTAAGTCTTTCCAAAGTACCTGAGTTTTTGTTATGCTTCCTTTTCACTTAATTATAAGTTGAATTGAGTTGCCATCAGAACATGAAGTATTTGACTGTTTCTTTGAACTCACTGAAGTGGGAGGCCTGTAATTCACAGGCAGCTGTCATAAGATCTTACAATAGCTCACTTACTTTGCCACGTGGAGGGAAAGGTCACACACATACACACTTCAGATCTTTTCTTTATCAACGGAGTGTTTAACCATCTTTTCTTACAAGTATTTTTCTCCAGCTGTTTTTCCAACCTCCCATTTTGTTGAATAACATGAGGAGGTTCTTCATGGTTTTCTCCCGATGCTTTTAAAGGCCCTGCTGCTAAGTGAAGAAGTTCAGGTTCTTGCTATTTGTTACCTCTTTTCCTTTCACTGGCCCCATTAGTTTTAGGTGTCCACGAAAGGACCCCTTATTCTGAATTATTTCTTCTGGTACTCTATTTAGTGTGCTTCTTCCCTATGTGAGTATTGACCTCATCCAGGCTTACTTTAAGGAAACCCTGTAGTCAGACAGTCTCCGGAAGCTAGTCTTCCTGCCAGCAGCTCTCTGTAGCTGTCTCCAACTCTGCCTAAGCTAGCATTTGTTTGTCTTATCTTGCCCCTCTCTGGCCTGCCTATATTAATTCTTTGCTAGCCTACTTTCCTCCTGTTTCATATATGTTTTCTCAGGCATACTCATGCTCTGCCTTGTCATTCAACCCACCTGAGAAAAAAGACTATGTAACATTCAAAACTAGGGAATAGGAAATCACTAATGCCATCCCAGGGGAACAAGAAGAAACAGGGTTGTTGTCACTCATAGCTTTTTTCACTTTCCTTAGCTCCACCTGCTCCCCAAGGTCTTGCCCTTCCCCAACATGGAGCCCCAGGAAACCAGGTCCTGGCAGTCCCTCTTGAGATGCCGGAGGCCAAGGTGAGCTTGCTTCCCTGTTGCCTTGCTTGAGATTTTGCCACTGCTATCTGATTTTGGCCTCAGCCTCTGCCTCTTGCCCAGCATGACATGCAGCCGAGTATGACCCCTAGCTACTACCTTCCTTCCTGTCCTCTGCTTCTCTCCCACAAGCTGCCAAGGAATGAATGCCCAGTGTGCTTATGATACCCACTGTATATGTGAGAGAGCTAAGTCTGTGTCTTGTGTCCTCTTGGAAGACAGTGAGAGTCTCCTTGTGCTTGATGTTGTTTTCTTTCTAGGACTCCTGGGGATTGTGGTTAGATCTCTACATTAGCAACATATACAGATGTGAATACTTCAGGCCCTAACCTCTTGCCCCTGGCATCACTGGTACCACCCTGCCTCATTACAGATTTGGTTAAAAAACTATCCATTTCATTTATTGCAGGATTTGGTGTCATTTGATATTGTACCGTGGCACCTCACAGAACTGGAGTGGCTGCGTGTGAGTCTGAGCCCGGAGCAGCAGGCACTGACATATTCCAGGGCTGTAACCTCCAATGGTAAGAATGCCTCCAGAACTTCTCAGATTCGCCATCTACTGAAAGTGGAGTTGGGGATACATAGCCACTGTGTACAATTTCACTTTGTTCTTCCTTATTGAGAACACTCAACAGCAGCTCCCCTAACTCCTTATGTCATGAAAGGATCTCTATCTTCCAATTTTTCACTTGAAAGGCATTAGATCACTAGTCAATGAAATGGCTGAGCCTGCTGACCTATCTTCAATCCCCAGAATCCATAAGGTAGGAGGAGACAATTTGTGCAAGTTGTCCTCTGACTTCTACTAGCACACCATGGTATGAACATGCCCACATGGTCACAGACACAGTAAAGAAATAAATGTAAAAATAGAAATTAGACCAAACCTGTCATAATTTACAGTGCTTTTAAAATTCAATATATTGTCTTCAGGTAAAGAACATATCAGACATTAAATTGATCAGAACAGATACTATAGTTGATCTTAACCATAATGCTGGAAACACAGATTATACCAATATATACAAATAAATTCTATATTGTATATATACTATATATGCACATATATACTATATGTAATATATACATTGTACATATACATGCACATATATAAATTATACCAATCATATGGCCAGTTGATTGGAGCTAATTGTTGCGAGCTCTTGTTTATCCATCAGGTATTTGCATGGGATGAGGGAGTTTTAGAAGGAACTATTGAGAGTAAGTCCTAGACAGCCCAGGAGATTTGGAAGGGATGGCCTTTGACAGCTCTTCCCATTTTCCTCCATACTGATATCATCAGCTGCCTTCTTCCATTTACAGGAGTGCCTGTTGTGAGTCCTGCTTTGGTATCTCACCTATCACAAGGACAAGTTCTGTTGGTATCAGATCCATCCCTCAGCACAGATCACAGTAAGCACTCTGGTGAGCATAAAGGAAACATGAAGAAGCATAAGGAAATTTGGGAGAGAGGTTGAGTTTGGGGTTGGAGGAGGATACTGAGCTGTTTAGGTTGAAGTTAGACTTGGGAAGAACAGCTAAGCTTGTGGGGTCTAGGATTAGGGTTGAGAGTCCTGGTGAAGCTCTGGTTATGAGGTGTGACTGTCCCTTTGCTAAAAGCAAAGCCATCTTTACAGTTCTTTGATAAGCAATGTCCAAAATTGGGACTCTCCCACCTTCCCTCTGGTGCTTTCATCTGATGACTTCTAGGCGGTTCCTGGTACTCAGCAGTTTCAGGAGAAAGAGTTATCAACAAAGGAAAGTAACCTTTTTCCTGGGCCTTCTGTAGACTATTGTGTCTCATTTGTCTTTTATCACTTATTGTAGAAAATCCCTCTGTGACCTCCCACCAGAAGATGGGTGAAGAAGCTCAGCTGGAAGAGATGGCATCCACGAGCTCCCCGAGGGCCAATGACCCCAACACTGAGGTCAAACAGAATGGGGACTCTGGGGGAAGGGGAGGGAGCCCACAAAATATGCCCATAGAACACCATTTTGCATGTAAAGAGTGTGGGGACACCTTCCGCCTTAAAGTGCTACTTGTTCAGCACCAGAGGGTTCACAGTGAGAAGGGATGGGAATGTGGTGATTGCAGGAAGGTCTTCAGTCAGAAGACAATGAGCACAGGAAGAGCCATGCAGCTGTGGCTGCTCAGTCCCAGCCTGGCCCCAGTTGGGCTCTGGAAGATGCCTTGGAAAAGAGGGAGCAAATGGAGAGGGAGGCGAAGCCCTTTGAGTGTGAGGAGTGCGGGAAAAGGTTTAAGAAGAATGCAGGCCTTAGTCAGCACCTAAGGGTGCACAGCAGAGAGAAGCCCTTTGATTGTGAGGAGTGTGGGCAGTCCTTCAAAGCCAACACCCACCTCTTTCGACATCAGAAGCTTCACACTTCGGAAAAGCCCTTTGCGTGCAAGGCGTGCAGCAGGGATTTCCTGGACCGCCAGGAACTTCTCAAGCACCAGAGGATGCACACAGGCCACCTGCCCTTCGACTGCGAAGACTGCGGCAAGTCCTTCCGTGGTGTCAACGGCCTGGCAGAGCACCAGCGCATCCACAGCGGCGCCAAACCCTATGGCTGTCCTCACTGCGGCAAGCTGTTCCGGAGGAGCTCAGAGCTCACCAAGCACCAGAGGATCCACACGGGTGAGAAGCCCTATGAGTGCAGCCAGTGTGGCAAGGCCTTCCGCCAGAGCTCCAGCCTGCTGGAGCATACTCGAATTCATAGTGGTGAGAGGCCTTATGCATGTGGTGAGTGTAGCAAGGCATTCAGGGGGCCTTCTGACCTCATCAAGCACCGGCGCATCCACAGTGGACTGAAACCCTATGAGTGTGACAAGTGTGGCAAGGCCTTCCGGAGGAGCTCAGGCCTGAGTCGCCATAGGCAGATCCACAGTGGGTCAAGGCACTGTGAGTGCAGTGAGTGTGGTCGTGTGTTCAAAAGGCACTCAGCACTCCAGAAGCACCAGCCCTCCCACCAAAAGTAGACACTGCCCTGGGACCTATAGCAGGGGTCAGCAGAGGCTTTGTCCCAGTCAAAGGAGATGAACAGTTTTGTAGCACTTATCTATTTTATTGTGTGAGAGATTGGAATGATTTGTACTTCCACCAGCAATTTATAAATGTTCATGTTTTCCAGTACACCTATCAAGGGTCACTTCTACCACTTTAACATAGCTTGGCTACTTTTCCCCACAGAAAGTACTGTCAAGGTATTTTAATCTTCACATCTAGAATGAGAATAAAAGTCTGCATAGGGGGCCTAGTAGGGAGCTGGGAGGTCCTTCCTAAGTTTTACCCCTGAAGGAAATACAGCACTGTTCCATGATAATGAATCTTTCTAGAAAGGAAAATTGCCCCAAGATTTTGGCCTACTTGAATTTATAAAATTTTAGAGATGTAAGTAGATCAAATGCCATAATATTTAATTTATTAATTTAGTTATAGATACATATTATAAATCACATTATATGGAATAATATATTAATTCAGAGAATACTCCTTTCACCATACTCCATTTGTGCATTTTTGACTTCACCAACATGGGAAACTGTTTGACTCATCACTCACCTCTGTTTGATCTATAGTAGCACTGTGGCAATCCCTTTGTGAGGCTTTCACCATAAGTTTCCTCGAAGCCATAAGAATATACTCATATAATATTAAAACCATTACTTTAGGTTTTTAAATTAGTACTGTACCTGCAACATAACCACTTCAAATGGCCTTTTAAAACGCCTGTTTTTACATTTCAAGCATTAGTCTTAGGTCTCACTCCTAGTAAAACGTACTGAGCTGGAGATAAACCTTTTTTGTCTCTCATTTTTTAAGTCAGTATAATTCAGTGACCCCTATGTACACCAAAAACAAACATTAGTTGGAGTTTGTGTTCACTTGGTATAATCTTATTCAAAATAAAGTGAGAGAGGACCTCCAAATGAGAGGGTAAAATGATGCCTCCTTCTTGAAAGCTCTTCACCTGATATCAGAGATCATAAATGGTACTTCTCCAACCCTCTCCATTTGCATCTATGAAGTGAGGAGTAGTTATAGTCCCTACCTCTTAAGGTTCTCAAGGAGTGTGCCTTGCCTGCAAGAACTCAGTGAAGATCGCTTGCTGATATCCTACAGCTCATTAGTTCCAGAAACAATGATGGACCCCCTCATGCCTCCTGAATCCTGGTCTCATCTTTCATACAATGACTTCAATACTATTACTGTTTTGTTGCATGCAAATTATCCGTTCATCTCCTTTGACTAGTCATCAAGTTACCTTTGGATATATTGACTTTATATAGTAGTTCTTTCTGTATCAATTGTCATGTTATTTTTTAGTTTTTATTGCCTTCCCTTTTTTTTTAGTACTTTTAAATTTTTGTTGTGCAGGCTTTGGATTTTTTAGGTATCCTTGAATTCTTTTTTGTCTGTTAACTTGTGACTTTTATTACTTCAGTACTTAGATAGGGTGACATTTTCTTCAAAAATTTACTTAGAAAAGAAAAGTTAAATCCCCTGCCCATCAAGAAATTGAACACACAAGGTGGGCAGGCTGGATGGCAGTGGGCCAGAGAAGCAGGCCCATGCCTCATCTAAGATGCAGACTCTGTATATGTCTGTGGGCAGTACTTGACTATACAACCTGGCCACTGAGGCACACTAAAGATGTGTCTGTCACACACTGCTCAGAGCAGTCTGTGACTGCTCCTCAATATAGCCCCAGCCACCAGCAACAGGGCTCAGCTTCACCTAGACCAATAGAATGGTTCTAACATGATCTGGCAGCAGCCATCCATCCTTCAAGCTGTCAGGAGCCTTGACTATTTTGGATTCAGTGACTAAGGAGCAGTTTCACATCTCAGACACAAAAGACTCGCCTGACTGGTGATGTTATGTGACCTCCATCCTCCTCCCACCAAGTGACTCTGGAATGAGAGATCAGTTTCATGGCTTCTGCTTTGGCCAACTAAAATGAGAAAATTTCCCATCTGTTCTGGCATCACTTTCTGCAGCCACATCTAAGAGGGATGCCAACTTGGGCCTGGAGAGAAATGGAGCTTTGTTCCTCCAGTAGGCTGCATGCCACGCCACAGAAGCTGGTTGCACCAGGTCTGGTCCGGGACTTGGAATAGCCATGCCCAGGATGGGCTATAAAACAAGATTAGAGGGGAAGAAGCCATTCTCACAGTCCATGTAGCACAGAAATCAAAACTGATCACCCTGCAGTTGGGCCATTGCTTTAGGCAGCCCCCTTCAGGAGAAAAAGCAGGTGAGGAAGATACCCACACCAAGGCTGTAGCCTGAGTTCCCAGTTGTGCCCTGAGGGGTGTTGGAGGACCAGAAAATGTGCCCTTATGGCAGCCTCTTAAGGGAGGTTGGGCACTCCAAGGGGGCATAGGCTGGAAGGGCTCCCAGCCACCACCTGGGAAGCTAGGTCTGACATGATGTCCATGATCTTAGCCAGAAGGGCCTCTAATGCCCCCTGGCCACCACAGTAGCCCTGTGTGGCTTCTCCAGGCTGGAGACAAGCCAACAGCAGTTGCTACACAGCAACTTCTATTGTTCTGTGGGCTCAATTCTGGTGGTTTCTTGTGAATTGGTCTTAACCCACTTCTTTCTCTAATTACTTTTTTCATTGTAAGTTGTTGGGACAAGTTTTGTACAACTATTGTTGGGTAAGGAATGTTCACATTTACAAGGGGACAAATCTGGCACCTTTGCCTTGAAGGAATGCCATTTCTTGCTCATTTGCTCATCATTGGTCAACATTGACAAAAGAAATTATTAAAGTCAAGATTAGCACTAACTTAGAAGGTAGTAGAGTGGTCACTGCCCAGCTGGGACATGGCATCTCTTCACATACCTTGCTGCCCTCTTTCACTCTTTTCTAGTTTGAGTTCTGTAATTTTTTCTGAAATGAATCTTGTTTTTAATTAACACTAAAAACCAGAGTCTTTTCCGTGACTATTATCTAACCAGCTTGTAAATGGTATTGGCAGTAAAATCCCCACTCTCTCTAAAAGCAATTAGTGTGTGGCTTTAACATGTGGTCCATAGTTGCATCCTTTGCCTTGGGTAATGTGGGAGTGAATTTCCTTGGATCCTCTAGGTATACTGCTATGTTCCGTGCAAATGTGAGCAACCTTCTTGCAGTGTGTACTTGTCTATGCATCCATGTATCTACCTCATTGCAGTTTTCTTTCTAACCACATGTATTCTTCTTGAAAGGGAATGAAAAGCAGCTAGTTTACATAGAATTCTCGTTCTCTATAGAGATGTATCCCTTCATCATATTAAGAAAGAACCCTCTGTGGCTTTTATCAGAGTTTTTAATACTTGCTGAAGTTTTTTAAGCAAATGTTTACCATTTGCTGATTATTATGATTAACTACGTCAATTATTTGTATCATACCCACTCTTGAATTTACAGAATAATCCCCACCACATCACAGCGTGGGCATCTTTCTCCCATGATGTTGGCATTCTGTGCTTGATTTTTGTGCTTGAAGTGGCATGACATCTGATCTGCCTGTACTCCTGGTCTGTGGCCCTGTTGTTTGTCACATGACTTGCCACCCCATTTCTGGGCCACATTAATTAAACCAACCCCAGACACCCAACCCAAAGGCAGCAACCAGCAGTCAGACCTGATTTGAGATGATGGACTTGGCCTTTTAGGACTATGAAATGCAAAAGAGGTATTGGACCATGGAGGGAGGCACAAGATATTTCAAGGAGTTGCCCCTGTGAGTAGAACCATAGTAGAGATCTACATGCCCAGAGATACTTGGGCCCCACCCTAAGGGAGGCCTGGCTATATGTTCCTGGATTACTGGCAGCTGCCTACATCAGTGTATATGTGTCCCCAGTATAGACTTCCTCCCCGTTGCATTCAGCCAGCTTGAATGGGTCTGTACTTTTTGAAATTTGCCAAGAGCCAATTGCATTTGACAGTGAGCTGCTTCCTGAGAAGACTTCTGTTGCTTGCTTTCCTTACATTCTATCCACCCAGCATTACTTGCCTAAATCCCAGTTGATTGACATGAACTCCTGTTTAAATGTGGTACTCTACTCTGATCACTAAGATGGGAGGAACTCTATGCCTTTTAGTCTCTGGGTTTAGCCCATGATGTTCTGTATGAGTGTAGTTCCTTTTCTGAACAGCATTTGTCTCATAAGATGAGCTCATTATAGCCTGTTCTACTCTATTTTGGAAGTGTTTGCTATTTCCAGCAAATGGCTTAGATTGGGGGATTGATGATACCTCCATTCCTAGTATACTTACATTCTGTAGTTTGCATTACTTTGGTTTGGGTACTTTCAGAAATAGAAATGGTATTTTTTAACTTGATCCTCAATGCTACTTTCATATCTCTGAGAATAGTAGTTGTGTCCTGCCCAGTTTATATTCAGTTTTTTTGGCATTCTTGTTCTTCCGCAGTCTGATTGTCTTGTCTGTTTTATGGCACTCACTATAATCAGCCTTGTACTAGAGCTGTTTGTGGACTTGGCTTCCCCTCCCCTTTTTTCAGCCTTCCCCAAACCATTAGATTGTGAGCTCTTAGAAGACAGGGGTGGCCCTTCATGTCTAATCCCCTACCAAATCTAGCACAGTGCCTTGCATCTAGTAGATTTCAATAAATATATGTTAAATGGAATAGATCTTTCTTGACTCATTTTGTCCAGGCTTCATTTATCAGCTCTTTCCATTGTCTTCACCATGAAGTAGTCCACATAGAGAATCACCCTTCTAGTATCCAGCTCAGCTACCAGCTTGCTCTCTGCTGGGATTGGTGATCTTGGCACTTACTGGACACCTGGAGGGGACAGGCAGTACTATGATAGGGCAAGGAAGATTTGCCTGTAGCTGTGAGTTGGCTCTTGACAGAAACATCATTTTCTCCATCTCAGTGCAAGTTCTCCAGCTCTGAATCCGAGATGAAAGTGCCAGGTAAGTCCAGACTTTGGCTTGCTCAATTAGAGACTGGGA